GGGGCCGTGCCTGCCCCCCCCCCGCCCCCTTGGCTCTGCACTGACTTTGGCTTTAAGAAAGTCCATTTATTTCACTACAAACCTTTGTGTAGACTCCCTTTCTTGTCACATTACCTGAGACAGATTGTGACAATGTAATCACAACTAAATCCACAGTGATGGCAAAATTAAAAGTAAGAACAAAATGATCAGGCAGGTTGTTTTGGGGATTTACCCTCCATAATCAGTGAAACAGTTAATGCAGTGTTTGGTGGAAGTGTCCCAAAGTCGGATGGAACGGTCATCCCCACAGGACGCTATGAGCCGCCCATCTGGAGAAAACCTGCAGCCAAGACAAAAAAACCAACTGAGTGCAAAAGCAGCTATAGCAGTTACCCATGCTTACTTACACAGGAAAAGTGCAAAAGATTCAAACAAAAGGTATGTTTGTGTAGGAGTGCTTCAGCAGTACCTGGCACAGCGCACCCAGTTCGTGTGCTGATTGAGGGAGTAGACAAAGCACTGCCGGTGAACACTCCACACTTTAACCGACTTGTCATCAGATGCCGTCACCAGTCTCTGGCCATCATGGGAGAAGGCAACACTGCGTACGGCGGCTGTGTGAGCCTTAAACACCGTTGACTCTCCTTTCCTGTGACAGACACACACATTACAACAAACATAACTAATATAAAACTCAGCATATGTCAACCTGCACTGTATATATGACCATCCTGCCAGTTTAGTGTTACCCTAAGGCGTCTAGTATTTTTTTTTCATTGTGCACCAGACCATTTGTTTTACATTGTAATTTAAAGGCCCTGAATAAAATGACAAGAGTGACGTTGGAAGCCTACATGGAAGGCGTCCACAGTCGGACTGTTCTGTCCTGTGAGGACGTGGCCACCAGGTTGCCAAAAGGGGAAAAGTGCACACCAGTGATGACGTCTTGGTGGCCGACAAAGCGGAAAGCCCTTGCCTTTGGAGCCAGATTCCAGATCATAAGGCTCTTATCCACTGACCCTGAGGCTGGAGGGGACAAAAGAAAAATGAATGGAGAACATCTGATCATGAACTACACAGTCAGGTCAAAGAGTTCATCAAGAGCAACATTATAATTTTTTAGGTGATACTCCCATTTCTAACTGTACAATGAGGCAATATATTAGCTACAAGTTACAGCAAGTGAGAAAATAAATATTTCAACAGCCAAAATTAGAGCATTTCTGGGAAAACAACGTAGGACTACAGGAAACGTTGCACCTACTGCCAAATAAAATCTAACTAGGATCAGTGAATTTGTCAAGCTTGTCACAGCAGCAGTTACCCAGTTGTTTGCGGTTTGGATTGAAGTCTGCACACATCACAGCATCTTTATGTCCCCTGAAGTGTCTCTCTAGGGTGGGATCCTCCTGCAACACAGCATCCAGTCAGAAAAACACTAGTTCCTCTTCAGTTTTAGTCCATAACATTTTGTTTTAGAAAAAGGCTGTTAAAGGTGTGCAGAAGTTGTGGGATTTAAAATAGAGAACACGGTTATGGAAAAAAAACTGCACTTTAAGGAAATTCATCCAGTATGCTTAATACGGTCCACTTTTTCTGTCGAGGTGGTGCTCCTGCCTGGGCAGAGCGGTGCAAAGTCAACATGTTCTTCTAGATAAGATCTACAGATTTAAGCTGGGGAAACATGTTGTAGTGGAGGGCTGGGCAGGAACTCCCTGTGGGACACTGTCTACCTGGGCAGACCAATACCTTTAAGAGATATAAAACTTAACAAAAACCTCATGAGCTGAACAGTATTTTGTAAAGACTTAAAAGAGTGGACCCAAAGTGTGTCTGACAGCCCCAATAAGCAAATCCCCTTAGTACAGACGCAGTTATCAAACTCGCCCACCCTGCTACCGTTAGCACAGGCGGAGGTTAACAAAGTACACACGCGTTTGTTCATTAGCGCTTGTGAAAGAATTACAACAAATATACTTACCAAAACAGACGCCATTGTGAGAATTTGCAGTTTTACGGAGCTAAGAAATGTTGTCTGAGGGAAAGTTGAACCGCACCGCAGCGTTGTACTTCCATAACTGTCAAACAGTGCGCCTTCAGACCTGACTTGTTGAACCCAGATGAGGCGGAGCAGTATTTTAGTGGGTAATTTTGGTTAACTTGGAGTTCTTTGAATTCTAAATGAAAACGGCGTTACCCAAACACCCGCTAGTTCTTCTAAATGAAAACTGCGTTGCCCAAACACCCGTTATTTCTACAGCTAATGCAAAAATCACCTGTAGTTTGATCTTGTAGCAGTGAAGAAATGGATGCCGCATTCATGAACATTACGTAAACGGCTGTGTTCGGGAATATTTAAATGCTATTCACACACAGCTTCAGCATTTCGCGATAACGTTTAAGTTGTAAACAGTAATCTAGTTGGAGATTTAGAGTTTTGCGGAACGTTCAATTAGTTACGGCAGATTTGTATACTAACTCAAAATGTGAATCCCGCAACCATTTATGATGAACATAAAAACATGAACATGGGTAGCAACAGCGTTTGCCGACTAAAAAGCGATTCAGGGTAGAATGCGTGAACATATGGCACTGCAAACGACCTGGGAACTTTTGCATTGTAACCAAAATAGCACGCCATTGCAAGCAAAATAGTTACGGCTATTTTCAATGAACGTGAATGCAGCCGATTGTTAAGGTGGAGCGTGCTCTGCTGCTAAGCAACTTGAACGACATACGTATGACACTGCTCTGAAGGAGACGCGACGCAGTGTCGGCTGATCTGATTGGACAATGAAACGGCATCGACGAATTAGCGGCGACATTGTAGAACTTGGAAATTGATGTTTGGTTTCCAGTTTAAAAAATGTCGATCAATAGGGGCATCGGCAGTGTCGAGGTAATGAACGTTAGATGACAGCTTTAGTTATTTTATTTACCTGCATTTTGCTAATGCTACATTACAGACCGCATCATGTACAGTGCATAAAGTGTGGATCAACGATATCAGGCGTAGCTATTTTAGCTTACTAGCTAGTTAGCGGTTATCATCAGTTATCATATCAACAGTGCACCTGTAAAAGTAATAACCTCCCATTGGAAAGATTGTTATAGTCTTTCTAAAAGCTCTGCGCAAGCTAACTTAACTTTGTGACGTTTACGAAGGTGTTTATCCTTGTTAAAAAGCTAACGCAAAAACATGTCTTTCCTTTCTAGTATATGCAAAAAAGAATACCGAAAAACGCAAAGTATCAACATGTCAAAACACGGTTGGACACAGGTATTTTTTTCGATGTACAGATTATATGTCCTTATTTACAATAACATATATCCCAGTGCCGTTAGCTACGTCTCAAACAGTTTTTATTATGTCACTGTCATGTTTCATTTGATAGGATGCAGCCTCACAAAATACATGGAAAGACTGGAGGAGATTAATAAAAGTGAGTAACTTATTTAAAGAGGAACGACGAATGGCGATGAATCTCCATATATTCAGTTTTATATTTTCACATTTTTACTAAAACACTTTATTTGATTCAGTGAGTTCTAGGGCTGTCCTTCTATGTTTTCCATTTTTGTCTTGATGATTTAATGCTTTGTGAATTCACCAGGTAGGAAAGGAAACCTAATCTTGAACCTTGAGACAGAAGGACGTGTTGATTATTCTGTAATATCAGTAATATTCATCATTATTTATGCATCAAGCAGGTGCGTAAAAAACAGCAGTCATTTAAAGTATTTGTACTTTATCTTTTGTGTCTGAGAGTCACAATTTGCTCTGGTTGCCACCTTTTTGTCATTGAAGTGGATCAGTAGATGTGAGATCTTTATTTCAGAACAGCCCAAACATGTTCCTTTAGGGCACATAACAAAGACACATACTGCAGCTTGGATCACAGTTTTGACCCCATAAGTATAGAACAGTGCTTCCGTCCACCTGACTACTAGACAGCTGTCCTAGATTGTTGTCCTTTTTTTAAATTAGTTCACTCCATTGTCATCTTACACGTTAAACATATTCTACTCTGTGCAAAGATGAACAGGTGGGTCAAATAGCCGAATTTGGCAAGACTAGGTCCAATCACCGCAAAATACTGCCTCCTAAAGGATCTTTTTGTTAGAGTAAAGATAATGAGAACAGTTTGCTGCACACTTACAGTAAGATAGGTGGTCATTTTGTGTTGAGGGGACCTGTGATTTGTCAGGGGTAACTGTCACTGATTCCTTCACTGATTCATTTTCAAATTTGTTTTACTAGATTATTAGGCCAGTAGACTTTCTGAATCGAGGTACAAAGTTGTTGTCTTCAGCTACAGCGGTTGTTATAAATGGCACATATGTGAGGCTCCTTCCTCCTATAGCGTTTCTTAGATTTGTTTTTTGATTAGTCTTATATATTTATTAATTTTTTCACATTTTCTCAGATTACAGGTACCGAAAAGATGAAATATTCAAGCGATTAAAGGTGACAACATTTGCACAGTTGGTAAGCATTCATGCTTATTTCTTTGCAGTAGTTAAAGGAAAGTCTAGCATACAGTTATTTTTGTGGTCTGTAATTTGTATGTAACAGAATTAATTAAGTGAGACAACCTGGTCTGGTTACTGTACTTAATTAACTGTATGAATAGTTTTGGACAGACAGCTGTGAATTCATTTAGTATGTTTTTTAACTTCTTTTTCAGACCCCTGAAATATCATTCTTTTTGCACTTTTTACTTCCAGTTTTCTAGAGGTTTTTTGCTAGGTATCAGCACTCTTGATTTCCAAACTTGTTTTTTGCACCAGATTCTTCAGGTAGCCTCTGTGTCAGGCCTGAATGAAAGTGAGAATGACATTGAATCACACATCACAGAAGGTAACAGCTGGAAAATTACTTGTTCATTTAACACTGAGAAACCTTATTCATCCTCAGCTTCATACCAAATGGCTCATTAATATTTTAATACAAATTTAACTTGGGTCACTAACAGTACCTGTCCTGGATATACTGTAATAAATGTACAATTAATTTCAGTTTCTAATGGTGGGTGGCAATGTGTGGATTTCCCACTCCTGTTCAATTACAGATGAGTTGTCAGTGGTGTCTGCTGCAGACCTGGAGGGTCTGTCTGAACACACTAACGGCTCCCCACAGGAGTCACCTCGTTCAGATCACCTGGATGCAGGCAGCACCAGGGATGGCTGCTGCACTGCCAGGTCAACACTGTTAAGGTACTGTAGCTTCTTAGAAAGCATGCCATACTGAAAACCCCACACACTTATGTTTTGGTGGATACCCTAACAGCTTACATATACTCCCATATACACAGACTCCCACTCACCCTCAGTCACACCCAGGATCCAACAATTACAATCCCTAATCACAAGAACACCTGCAACCCTACACCCACTGTATCTATGTCAACACAGTGTACCCTTAAGACATCTGCCTGCACACCCCTGCCCTCTTGTATGCTGGCCTCAATCTGCTGTTAGCATCCCCTCCTCTCAGCTGCGTCCTCTCCACCCTCCAGCCTGAACAGAAACCCCAAGAGTGTAACTCTATCTGTGGCCTCTCCAGGGAACACAGACTGGGCCTCTTTATTCACAGAGCTGTTAGGTCCCCTTTACCTTCTAGGGGAGGGCGGATGGAGAGAGAATGTAGGGCAGTGCTGGGGTTAATGTACCTGCACAAGGTGTGCTTCTACCTCACAGTGTTGCTTGTCTCACTTTCAAATTTTCTGCTGTGAGTCTTTTTACCTCTGAACCCCAGTTTCACATTAACATCTCTCTGCTTTATGAAACCAGCACACTATCTGCTCTGGAGAGCAGTTTTAGTGACAGACTGATCCATCCTCGCTGTTTGAAGGAGAGATTTCGCAGGTCTTTCCTCCCTGCTGCGGTTAGACTCTATAACAAGGTCTAATATGGTTGGTAATAAGGTCATGCATTGTTGTTATATTGCTGGGACAATTTCTTTATGTATGTCCAGCATTTATATATCATCTGCATGACCTGTGATCACTTGGAGTACTCCAATAATATTACTTATTACTCCGATAATATTACTTATTTTTTAACTGATTATCATTATTTGATTATCATTCATTTGTATATACCATACGCACATGTTATGTATAGTTACGGGAGCGTTATAGTAATTTTATGGTTTGTATTTAATATCTTTCATTTTTTATCTTGTCTTTTATAATATCTTTATATTTTCTGTACTTTGCTGAACATATTGTGCTGTTGCAACATGGAAATTTCCCCTCTGTGGGACTAATAAAGGTTTTTCTAATCTAATCTAATGTACTGTTCTAAATCTTTACTGACAGTCACAGACATAATTTAAATAATACCAACAGATGTAAAGATTGTGCTTCTACCATCATCTATTCAAAAACACAATTTCAAGGACTTTAGTGAATGAATTACTGATGGTAAACTATGACAAAATAACAAATTGCATAAAATTTTACTTGTATAGTTTGTCTAAAAACAAACAATACAAAGCAAAACTCATAGAATGAAGGAGTGCAATGAAATAAGACTACATAACCCAAGCCTTTACTCTTTGACCCCTCACAGTGTTATCAGTGGTGTGGGAGAGTTGAATCTCATCAGGAACAATCAGAAGATGGAGACTGAGTTGCTGTGCAGCCACGAGCCTGCGGACAGGTCCTACCCCGACTGCCCCTACTTGCTGCTGGACGTACGGGACCGCGACCAGTACGAACACTGTCACATCATCAGTGGTAGGTAGTGAGAATATGAGGCTGGGTCATCGAGCTTTCTTGCCAAATACAGTTTTTATCATCATTGTTTTTCTTTGTATCAACTCTCTTTCCTACAGCTCACAGTTTCCCAGTTTCCGTGCTGTCTCGGACAATGAACCCCTACACCAAAGAAGTGCTGGAATATGTATCCTTCAACATCCAGTTCTCTTTTTTAAGCATTTTTTTCAAGTAACAAAATCACTGTCAATTTTTTATGAAATGCAGTTACAACTGACTGATGATTGAACTTAACCCACACTGTTTAGAAAAATACTGCAGGGAGGATCATCATTGTGTACGATGAGGACGAACGAATAGCCAGCCAAGCAGCCACCGTTATGTGTGAACGAGGATTTGAGAATCTGTTTATGCTCTCAGGAGGTAAACTCTGATATCACTGAGGATGTGTAAACTACATCCATTCGAAGTAACAGTGACAGCGTTGTCTCATGTAACCAAATGTGACCAAAACCAAGAAAAAATCCACGGCCAGGATGTCGTTCAACATGCTCACCTAGAAACTAGTGAACAAAAAATCTAGTGAAGCTAAAGTTAAAATAATTTTAAGTTAATTAAGTCTTGTATAATTTTACTTATCCATATGCAGTATTTAACCAGTCTATAAAATAATACATTTGCAGCCAGTTGCAGGTTCAGTGTCTGAAAAGAGCCGCTGTCCCAATGTGCTTTGTCTCCCAGGTCTTAAGGTAATTGCTCAGAAATTTCCAGAAGGAATGACAACAGGTTCCATCCCGACCTCATGCCTGTCCTCTCCCACATCATCAAAGAGGAGGAAGAGCTCTGTGCAGCAGCAGCAGCAGCAGCAGCAGTAGAGGGCAATATTATGAAGCAAATGCACAATTTGCTTTATCACAGGTCTCTAAATCAGTCTTTGCAATATTGATATATGAGCTGGCCAAGATCCAGGAGCAGCTAGAAGAGATACTCATTCCAAGTAGCTCCAACAGTAAGACTGAATGCTCAGAAAGTTATCATTTCCTTGAAGGTTTCAATGTGAAGGATTAAGGTTCAAAAAAAGATGCACTGACAGATGTTCTTCTCTCTCGTCCCTGCCGTTTACTTCAGTATTGTTTGCATGTGTGTTCACTGCAGGCCACACATCCAGCCGCATGTCAACCATCAGCTCCCAGTCTAAAGCATCTAGTGCTCGGAGTCGACCGAGCTCTTTCACAGCTAGGAGGGACAGCGCCAGGGTTCAGAGCAGTAGACCCTGGAAATAACCTCACCCCCTCAGCCGCACAGATACACACAAAATAACTTACCTCCAACACAAAGTCCATTTATTTCAGCTTACATAACTCCCACTCCACTGGTGTAAATTCTCTTACTGTACAGTCAGAGGTGGACAGGCTCTTTATTACAGGAACCTGTTTTCTATTTTCTCATCTGTTTCTGGCACCCTCTACCATCTTTTACTCCAAAATATCTAAGTTAGGACAATTTTCTTCTATCTGAGAATCACACTGTTCAATAATTTGTTGCTCTAACCTCTGGCACAGATGTTGATTATTAACTCTTTTAAAATGTTGTGTTTTTCAATTTTAGAAATCACATACATAATTGACAACACACAACAGCAGTAGAATGTAAACTCTAGTCAAGGTTTTGACATCTGGACAACAGTAAATATAAGATTTTGAATCGAAAACACATGAAGGAATTCTGTGAACAGCATAGACGCTTAAATTATGCTCTCCATCTTCACTACTTACAACTGATGTCAGACTGTTTTAAAATATTTAATAAATTGTGTACATTTGAATGTTTGCACAGTGCCTCATCTGTGAACATGAAAATTACTGTTTCATATAACAGTTTTCTGTTTTTCTCCAGCACATGAATCAGTAATATCTATGTTGTTCAAGTTACAGTCTATTATTTCAGAAAGGTGATGTTTAACTCCACCAGTATGGAAGCCACCAAATTAACAGCGTTCTTGAAAGAGTTACAGTTTTATTGCTGGATACACACTGGTTTAATGTTGATATGACATGAAGGATATGCTTGGAATCTGTATTACATGAAATGAAATGTTTGTACAAATATTGTTGTAAAGTTTTGAAAAGTTGTGCTGTATTTTTATAATATGATGGTTTATTGTAATTCCTTAACTGATGGTGCACTGGCAGCCTTTATGTACAACTTCTGCTTTCACTTAAACACTAATGTGAATGTGAACTGTGTGTGTGTGTGTGGATCAAAGTACTGAACATAGTGATCACACTAACTGATTAGTTGGAGCCTTCACACTGATAAATGTCTGTAACACAAAACTACGGTGTCACTAAAGGAAGGAAGTGGCCATTTTGTAATGGCTTTAACACAATGACACACAGCACATCAGTTCCCTCAATGCATTTAAAACATATGAAAAACAGTATTGCTAATTGGTGCCCTTTTGTTGTTCAGTGACTTGCGACTTTTCCCGTAATACAATCCCACAGTGTCTCCTATGAAGTGCATTTAATGAACATTTGGACTTCTTCGTAGTCCTTCTTTGTGGCAAATGTTGTGTTGTCACCATTAGTCTTAACTGGCTTTAACCAGCTGATTATGGTTTTGTTTGTAAAAGAGTGTATATGAATAAAGTGCATGATTGCTTGCTGGATATGAGTTGTTTCTTTGTCTAATAAGGCAGTTCTTTAGCTTAGACATTGTGTCTGGAATGTGCTCAGGATCTTAAATTTTTCTATAATCCTTCATCAATGCCACTTGAATAACCTATATTTTTAGAGAGGTAATCTGGAAG